GCCTTTTTTCTTTTTTTTTTTTCGTAGGAGATGGCGATGGCGGGATCTTTGTCACGTTGTTTGGCGGAGGAGTGGGAGGCGGAGTGGGAGGAGCAAGAGGAGCGGGAGAAGGAGCGGGAGGAGGAGGAGGAGGAGTGGGAGGAGGAGCGGGAGGAGGAGCGGGAGGGGAAATGGGAAGGGCGGAGGAGGCGCCGGAAGAGGAGCGGGAGAAGCAGCGGGAGGAGAAGCAGGAGGTGGAGCGGCAAGGGAAACGGGGAGGGGGTTAGGAGCGGAAGGAGCTGGAGGAGCGGGAGCGGGAGGAGCAGCGGGAGGAGCAGCGGGAGGAGCAGCGGGAGGAGCGGGAGGAGGACGAAGTTGTGGTGGAGCAGCGGGAGGTCAGTCTCTCTCTCTCTCTCTTCTCTCTCTCTCTCTGTGGCTAGCCACGTGGCGGGCCTTTTTTCTTTTTTTTTCCGTAGGAGATGGCTATGGCAGGATCTTTGTCACGTTGTTTGGCGGAGGAGTGGGAGGCAGAGCGGGAGGAGCAAGAGGAGCGGGAGAAGGAGCGGGAGGAGGAGGAGTGGGAGGAGGAGCGGGAGGAGGAGCGGGGAGGGGAAATGGGAAGGGGCGGATGAGGCGCCGGAGGAGGAGCGGGAGAAGCAGCGGGAGGAGAAGCAGGAGGTGGAGCGGCAAGGGAAACGGGGAGGGGGTTAGGAGCGGGAGAAGGAGTGCGAGGGGAAACAGGAAGGGGCGGAGGGCTATTTTGGTTGTTTCTAGACGTGTATGTGGTTAGCTACATGCACTCGAACTTGCTATGTTTGAATCGGCCGTGATTTTCATGGCTGCTGTTTTGCTCATATCTGGACGTGATCGTGGTTAGATACATGTACTTGGATCTGCCTGTTAGAATACAGAGACAGCTGTTTCGTGGGCCATGCTCTCTCTCTCTCTCTCTCTCTCTCAAACACACACACACACACACACACACACACACACACACACACACACCGGAGCGCAGCAAGCAAGCTAGCAAGCAAGCTAGCAAGCAAGTGCGGGAGAGAGAGAGAGAGAGAGAGAGAGAGAGAGAGAGAGAGAGAGAGAGAGAGAGAGAGAGAGAGAGAGAGATGATGACGATGAGTGCTATTTTGGTTGCTTCTGGATGTGTATGGTGGTTAGATACATGCACTCGAATTTGCCATGTTTGAATGGGTTGCGATTATCAGGGCTGCTGTTTTGCTCATATCTGATCGTGGCTAAATACATCTACTCGGATTTTTTTTTTTCTCTTTTTTTTTTTTTCTTAGTGGATTTCGACTTCCATGACCAAGTAAGCTATATTCTTCTCTCATCTATCTCATCTTCTTGGTAGTATGCATCTATCTCACCCTCTCGCTAGTCTATGTATAGTACGGGGGAACACCAACCAACCCGGATCTCTCCCTAGCGCAGAGGTAGGTTGGCACCACAGCAGTGGTGCATGAGGGGTGGGCAGGCATTGCCGATGGGGGAAATCGGCAGTGCTAGCACCGAGCAATGGCCAGTCATTGCACCCCACATGCCAGTGTCTAATGGCCAATATTGGCGCTGGATAGCAACCAACAACATCAGCCAAGGTCCTGCCAATGCTGGCTTGGGGGCCAACGGGTTATCTCTAGCTGGTAGAACACCAAGCTTGCCTAGACACGTACGTGAGGCCAATGGGGATTGAATCCACGGCCTCCTGAATGCGACTTCTTTGCCCTGCCAACTGAGCTAGGCCCGCTGGCCATCTACTCGGATCTGCCTGTTCAAATACAGAGACAGTTGTTTCGTGGGGCATGCTCACACAGTCGTTTCTTCAGGGCATGCTCTCTCTCTCTCTCTCTATCTATCTATCTATATATCTATCTATCTATCTATCTATCTATCTATCTATCTATCTATCTCTATCTATCTATCTATCTATCTATCTATCTATCTATCTATCTATCTATCTGTCTGTCTATCTATCTATATCTATCTATCTATCTATCTCCCTCTCTCTCTCTCTCTCTCTCTCTCACACACACACACACACAAAATGCCAAAAATGTTTTCTATGTTTACAGGATTCTCATTAGCTTCTTTAGCTYTCCCAACTATGAGTGGATTTGTTGCAGAAATGATGGTTTTTTTAGGAATCATAAGTAGTACTTTTTATTCTCCATCTTTTCGAAGTAAAATAATTTAAATTAAAGATGAATCTTAAGAAACATTTTTCAAAGCCAGGTAAACGAAGAATGAAGCTTAATATGTTGAAAAGTCGTTAATGAATTAGATTAAATAAAAAAAGGTATTTCAGCTTTTATAGAGGCTTTACTCTACACACACACACACACACACACACACACACACACACA